CCAGGTCGCTAATTAAGCCTTGCATTGCAAATGTTTTGGTTTTCTTTTGTCCCGAGAGGCACCAGCTGGGGCTCTTCCAGAGCAGAGGGCACAGCTTCATTTCTTGTTTGCATATTCTAGGATCGGAGGACCTCTGGCTGCACTGGAGAAGGAAACCTCCGCTAAGGATGATGTTGTACGGCCCCCAGCCCCAGCCCCAGCCCAGCCCCAGCCTGTTGGAAGGAAGCTCCTCGCTGAAGAAACAAAGCCCACTGCTGCCACTACCCACTGTCACTACCACTAAAAGCACTACCACTGGGACTGGACGCACAGGTAGCAAACTGCCAGCAGCTTCTCGTATCCTGAACACCATCCTGAGTAACTATGACCACAAACTGCGCCCTGGCATTGGTGGTGAGTAGCAGAACAAAGTTCTTCCCCTCCTGGGGGAAGGAGGGCTGTGGGCATGGAGTGGAGAAGGGGCCTGGGGTATAGCTGAGGGCACTGCACATGTAGCAAGAACAGCTGCTGCTGACCTGGCAGGTAAGAAATGTCTGCGGTCGAAGGAATGCCACAGACCTTGGGTCACCCTCTTCCCTTCTCTCACCCTCAGGTTTGTAACTGTGAAATGAGATCTGTACTGTAGATGATTGATCTGTAAGGTGTATGTCCAACTCGTAACAGTGCCTCAGCTGGGTCCTGCCATGAAAGAACAAATAAGGAACTAGGATTGGTGCTCTTTCCTCCTTTCTGACGACCCCATCCTCTGCTCCATTCCCCTGTTTGACACTTACCCTCTACTACTTTCACTTCCCTTACAGAGAAGCCCACTGTGTCACTGTTGAGGTTCTGTCAACAGCCTTGGCCCTATTCCATTGTGGATATGGTGAGTACTGAGCTTTGATTACAGTAATTTCTGAGCCACAGGCTGAGATAAGGGGCCTGACATTACTTGTTCCTTTGCTCTGTTTCGTAACAACTCCAAGGTGTTTTAGGAGTGGGGGGGGCGTGAGAGGGGTGGGATTTTAACTATCACTAACTTGAGAATGTTGCTGGAAAAGGTGAGTCCCTTGCTGCCTGAAGAGGACCTTCAGAATTGTGGCTGTGTCTTCAATCTTTCATTCAAAATGAAAATAATAAAGCAACTTTAAACACCACAGTGGAATGGCTCTTTTTTCTGCTAATTGTTTGTATGGACTTAAGCTACAGTTGCTAGCTCTTTTTCTATGATGGTTTTTCTAGTTTTTTCCTAGTTCCTTGTTCCCTCCCTTTCCACTTGTAGCATCCTTGTATCAGTACAGTCCTCAGTTAGCTTTTATTATTTTCCACCTAGAATATGCAAAGGTATCCACTTATCTCAATCCTCAAAACTGGTCTCCCGAGTTAGAGGACTCCTACAGTCCTGGCCCTACTTCCATCGTGTAGTTCAAACCCATAGTCTAGCAAGCTAGGCTGTCCATGGCTCTATTCTTTTTCACCTCTTTGGAGACCACTTGCTCTGATCACACTAAAACATCCATATCCCCAGAAGACCTTGTACCTCTGAACTGAGCCTTTGTTCAAGCCATTTCCTGTTTTGAGATGCCATTGCTCTATCTCCTTGCTTGTCAGAAGCCTTCCCCTTTGGGAATCAGCTCAGATGGCATCTCGTTCATAGCAGCTTCCCTGACTTCCACAGCTACTCATTGCTCCCTGTACATGCCACACTCCTCTCTGGGCACTCATATCTTTCTAGTTATATCTAGCTTTATCTTCCCTAGTTCATTTCATGCTAGTTATTTTTTCTAGGTCTGCCTTACTCTCTTTCCACCATGGGTTCCTTGATACCAGGTACTCGGTATATGATAGCTAACCAAATGAGGTGTGAAGGATGCTCTGCAAAAGTCAATTATATTTGCAGATTTAACCAACTCTGTTGTTGCCACAGTCTTAGCTTGGCTAAAGGGAGACACACAAAAAAGCACCATGTGATTGGGTGAGTCTAGAGTCTTAGCTTTGACATGGGTCTTGCTGATAAACCCTCAAAGGTAACATTGGTGGAAGATCAAGGTATTTACACAGCTGAGTAGAAGAGTAAGATTCCCCCCACCCTGTGATATTGTGTTTGGCTACCTGATTTTTAAGGCACAGTATGCTTATGCATTACTAGGTAACAAATTACCCTAAAACATAGTGTTTTTAAAACAACAAATATTCATCATCTCATAGCTTGTGTGTTCCAGGAATCCAGACATAGTCTAGCTGAGTTCTCTGTTTCAGAGTCCTCCCATGCCTGCAAATCCAGGTGTCAGCAGAGGCTGGGATCTTATCTGAAGGCTCACCTGAGAGATGATCCACTTCCAAGATTCTCGTGGTTGGCAGGATTCGGTTCTCTCTGGCTGTGGTTCAGAGTCCTTTCTCAGTCCTTTGCCATGTGGGCCTCTTCACAAGGCTGTTTGCAATATGGCAGCTTTTATTTCCTTCAGATCAAGAAAGAGTGTGAGAGAAGGTGCTCAAGATAGAAGACACGGCTTTTTGTAATCTAATTTTGGGAAGGATGTCTAATTGTATTCTGTTCATTAGAAACAAATCAGTAGGTTCAGCCCATAGTCAAATGGACTTGGTTCCATGGGAGAACAAGCACCAAGAGGTAAAGATCATTGGGGGCCAGCAATGGCCCCAAGTGAGATACCAGAAAGTCTGATACTGACAAGCCCAAAGAATTCAGTCTGATAACCTAGAAGTCACCAAACTTGATGCAGCACTGATCCAAAATAGAGACAACAACTTGATTTTCTTTGGCTAGTGAGGTGGTGCTTTTGAAACTTCCAAACCCTGAGAAGTTTCAGCTTCTATATAGTTCCTGTAGGTGGTGCCTGATCTTATGCAGCTTACTTTCCCTGGTGCACCTTATGAGGAAGAGAGCACATGTCTCTGCCACCCAGTCATAGAACTTGCCAATGCTCTGAGCATAAATTGTCTCCATACTCATCATGACAGCCTGTGTGGCAACCAAAGATGCTGCTATTAGGGATCCTGATTCAAGGAGTGAGGCAGCTGAGTCTCAGCAAGGTGTGAGTCCCACTGTCAGTTGCAACACGTCAGTGGAGTTGTTCGAGAAGAATTTCAACCCCTTCCAGTAAATGAAATGTATAGAGTACAGACCTTGTCCTCAAGGAAGGAAACCTGAGCCTATTGCATGTGGATTTAATTAACTATGTCTGCCATTCTCCTGGCTAAACTTTTGGAAACACGTCTGAGCTTACTGTACTGACCAGTCTTGAAACAACTGCCTGCACAGCATCACCAGTTACTAATGCTGTATTCTCACTGCAGTAATTACTATAGGTGATTCTAACCAAGCCGGTTCCTAAACATGAACTTGTAGTTTGAGCTGAGCTAAAAGAGATGTACATCCCAAGCTATTTTGTCAAACTGGAAAAATTGAACTGTGAACCATTAGTTATTGGTTATGTGTAAAGAACTTACAACTGGTATCTTGTTAAATAGGAATTAAGTGTTCATTTGAAGCACTTTATAGCAGATGGTGGGCACTGCATGGGTGTGGAAACACTTTGAAGGCCATTTGTGAGGGCAGATGGGGTGTGGTAGAGGTATCAGAAACTCCCACTCGAATGGTGGCCAGGCTGTACTAGTTCTTTTCTGCCTGCTTCCTGGCCTACTGTGGGAAACTGTCTCAGTCTACCTTTCTGTATGTGGTCCTGGCAATTTAGCAGCTATTTCCATCACCTTTTATCCTGCACAGCAAAGGCAAGCAAGGGTTTTCTCGATCTCTTCCTTGAGTTCTCTACTGGTCTCTAGCATTTGGGATTTTGCTAGGTATTTAGTCATTGTTTGATGTAAGGTTACCCAGAGGAAAGACTTGGGGTTTCTGCAAAGGAAAGTTGAACTTTGATACCCAAAGGGACTTTTGGTGCAGTGAAGGCCATGCAAGGCAAGCCATGGTAATGGTAATCCAAGCAGGAGATCCAGTATGTTGCCATTAGCTGTGTGACTTTGGACAACTCCCTATCTCTCTAACCCTCAGTTTCCCTGCCTCTAAAATCAATTAGGTGGGCTAGCTTTCAGTTCTGCTATGGCACAGTTCTGGTACTTGCTGTTTAAGCTGTTCGCAGTTGTATTGCAGTCTGTTTTGTCACCCTTCAGCCGAGCAGTGCTAAATTCTAGCTTTTTCTGCTTTTCCCTATTAAACATCCTTCTTGATGTTTAATAGTCAGTTTATGAGACAGACACTATCTGAAGACCATATCGTGGATATATCTATGCATGCACACACACATTCAGAGGTTATTCGCACTTGTTTGAAAAGAAAAATAAACAAAGCAAAAAGAATGATTCTCCTTGTTAAAAAACATGAAACTAGATAGAATTTCTCTTGTGACTCAAAGCACTTCAATTTTAATATAATTCTGGGGAATGTAGGATGGAGGTTAATTAACATCTGTGCTCCCCAAATAAAAGCTGAAAGGGGAAACTTTGCCATATACAATCAAAGGTGTATGTGCTTATACATTTTAAGTGATTTTGAGCTGGGATCTTTTATTTGTTGTGGAAATGTGGGGGCTGAAAGCATGTCGATCTGGCTAGAGTAGCACCACAGCCCCAAGTGGTGAGCCCAAGTGCCTGCAATTAAGCCACTATCACCTGTCTGTCCTGTTTCTTGGTTCAGTGTTCCATGTATTCTGTCACATTGCCTTGAGGGTTCCATGTTAGGGAGTGATGAATGATATACTTGCACATGAATGTCTTGTCTACTTAGCCCGAGTGTATGGTTTTCTGTCCTTCCCACCAGGAGTATACCATTGACATCATCTTCTACCAGACCTGGTATGATGAACGCCTTCGTTACAATGATACCTTTGAGACCCTTGTTCTGAATGGCAATGTGGCGAGCCTGTTGTGGATCCCGGACACCTTTTTTAGGAATTCTAAGAGGACCCAGGAGCATGTGATCACCATGCCTAACCAGATGGTTCGCATCCATAAAGATGGCAAGGTGTTGTACACCATTAGGTATGTCAAACCTTTGGTCTTGTCTCCTAGGACTTTCATGCCCTTCTGGGAACTTTAGCCAAGGATTCATGGACAGAGATCTCATCCTGAATTATATTCCTCAGGCCTGTCTAGATTTCCTCCAGCATGGCTCAACCACTTCAAATACAAACATGGAGCCTCAAACTAGAAGATCTTTCTTAAAGCCACACAGTTTGTGGCAAAGCCGGGACTGGTACCCAGTTACTTGGATCCCAGTCCACAGCTCCCTCGACTAGAATATGCCGGTATGACTGCACTGCGTGGACAATTCCATCCCAAGTGGGCACTGGATGTAAAGACACGTCCACGGTGGTGGAATTGTCCAGGCGGAGCAGCAACACAACGGTTGGAAAGGTACCTGAGACCAGCCTAGATACTGGAGTGTCTGGCAGGAGAAGGTGGTGCCATTGATGTGGGGGTGAGGAGGTGGTGGAGATTGGGAGAGGTTTTGGAAACTGGACTGGTCAAGAAACAAAAGTCCATCCAAATTGAGCTATACATTTCTCTGATGATGGAGCCCAAAGTATTCAGATACTTCCAAGCTGTTCTTTCTCTCTTTTTGTTTCTCCTTCAAGCTTTTTTTCTTAAACTCTACTGTTACCATTCATTGGTGGTTGTTCCCACATCAAGGATGGGTGAATACCTATGTGCTCAGAGCTAGCCTAATGAGGCTCCTTTCTCCCTTCCAGGATGACCATTGATGCGGGATGTTCACTCCACATGCTCAAATTTCCAATGGATTCTCACTCTTGCCCTCTGTCTTTCTCTAGCTGTGAGTACCTTCTTAGGTTTCGGGGATCCAGAGACATGCTGGGCCCCTTCTTTTTCTCCTCTTTGCCTTTTACATTTTCCAGCCTCTGCTTTTCTCATAAGATGGTGCCAAAGTTGTGCCAGGCCTCCATCCTCCATTCCCCACCTTCATCTCCTTTCCTGCCAACAGTTCTGTGTTGCTCTACCTGGGCTTCATGTTGAGTTCCTCCCCATTCCTTTGCACCCACCTTAAATTAGTCACCTGCTTCTGAAGTGTATCTGAAGTATGCTTGCTCCTCTCCATGGCTTAGGACTTTGTCATCCTCCTCTTGGACATTTGTAACCTCTTCACTTTGAAATTGGACATGTCCCAAACTGAATTTATTGTCCCCTTCCAACCCCTACCTCCAAAACAAATGTGCTGCTTCTGTGTTCCCATCAGCTTTATTGAAGGGCATCATCACCTACCTACTTGTCCAAGCTAAGAGCTTTGATGCTTCCCTCTCCGTAAACTCCCACATCTAGTCAGTCCACACATCCTGTTGGTCTCTATTGATCCCATCTATTTCTCTGCATTCTGACTGTCATGGCTTTGACTGCTGCCTTCATTCATTTTATTGTGCCTAGATGACTGCACTGGCCTCCCAGAACTGGCCAACTTGCCAACATGCTATCCTTATACAAGAACCGAGTGACCTAGCTAAGCATCATCTAGACCTGGTCACTTCTTCATTTCAAATCCTTCCTTACCTCTCATGGATCAGTTCTCATTCCTTAAAATGACACTTAAGACCCTTCATGAGCTGGCCCCTGCTGCTTACTCCTGTACAACTCATCCTCTGTGAGCTAGTCATCATGAAATTTTGCCATTTCCCCAAGAACCAAGCCATTTCACTTTTCTGTACTGCCTCTCACCCAGTCAACCTTATACCTATGGAAAATGTTTACTTGACTTTCAAGACTTAATGGGAATGTCACCTACTCTATGAAGTCTTTTCTGAGTGATTCTTCCCTACTTCGTTTTCCCATTGTTCCATGAGTAGATGTAGTTCAGAGCAACTCCAAAAGTCATAGCTGTATATTCGCTATCTTACTCAATAAAATGTGAATGTTTGAGGGCATGTTCATGCCTTACCCATCTCTATTTCCAGCCCAGGGCCTGGCACTAAGGAATGCTCAGTAAATGCATTTATTGAATGGATTTCAACAACCAGGTAAGAGAGGCAAGGTCCCCCAGCTGGTGAGGCCAGAGTCAGGTCTCCAAAGCATTACTCAGGCTTATTCCATGCTGGTGGGGACCTCCACTGGGCTTCCCTGTCTCACATGACACTCCTTCCTGTGTTGCTTTCCAGTTTCCTACACGGAGAATGAGATGATCTACAAGTGGGAGAATTTCAAGCTTGAAATCAATGAGAAGAACTCCTGGAAGCTGTTCCAGTTCGATTTTACGGGAGTGAGCAACAAAACTGAAATCATCTCAACCCTGCTGGTAAGAGTGCCATGGGAGCCAGGCTAGGCAGAGGCCCGGGAAGGTGGCAGGATGACTGGAGGTGACCATCTGTGCAAATGCTCAACAGTGATCCCATGGAAATATTGTGTAGGACATGGCACCTGTCTTGTAAATGCTAAGCACTTACAACTGTTTGCAGAGGAAACTGAGACTTTGTAACTATGTCTCAGTCTCATCTGCAAAGAAGTAAGTGCTTTGCCAAGCCCCGGAGGAGTTAGGTAAGTAGACAAAATTTTGTGGCTATCATAATTGCAAGTAACTTTCTCATGTAGACCATTCAGATTCAAGGACTTTGTTACAACACTGACTTACTTGGATGACTTTGGGAATGGCACTCATGTGAGTTTTTCATACTAGAACCAACCCAAGGTGGTTGAATGGGAAGCAAGATTCATCCTAATGGGAGGTGGAGGCTAGAGCCATATGGCATATAGTGAGGGCTAGGGTCATCTGGAAGAAGTCCCAGCAACTACAATGGTTGCTGGTTCAACATTTTTCTCAAAGGAGCAGTTCTAAAAAGCACTGATTACTGTCAAATGCTTCCCAGTGGATTCAACATAGACATGGTGACCACTGGTTTTCTGGTCTTGTCTCTAACAAGGATGAAAGGGGAGGGTCCAGGGTATCTTAACTTTTAGTTCCCAATTAGGTGTGAGCGTCTTTGCTTGTGTTCCTAGGTGATCTGAATGAGGAGCCAAGGAACCTTCCCAGGGTAGCTCCCAGAGCAGCCCTGGAAATTCTCTTCACATGTACTGACCAAGTTCAGGGCAGTGAAGGCACTGCCCTCACCGTTTCCAGAACGTGGATGGACAGAGTTACCCAAGCAGCCATTTGCCAATGGGAAGCATCTTGCTTTGCTTCCATGTGGCTCAGCAGAAAATCTGCTTTTGCTTCACTTGAGTTGGTCACTGGGTGAGGGACAGACAGCTCATGCTCACTTGGCTAGAGCTTTACTTACACACTACTAAGCAGGGGCCAAGGGCTGCTTTACAAATGATTTCCTCTTTCCCAAGGGCCTCTGAGGAAGCAATTTCACTATCTTTTACTTGATCCTTGCTTTTCTGCTAGCTAACCATGGGCCTGCCTCTTAGCTTTCTGCACCTCAGTTTCTCCAGGTAGGTGGAGATCCATCATCCAAAGTGGCAGAGGAGACAAGGCCCAGGGGCTTTCAAGTCACTAGTGGTTCCGTTTAGTAGATGGTTGCATATTGTTTCAAAATGGTGCCCTAGTGACTACAAAGCCCCAGAGCCAGCATCACCACTGAATCGATGATAATAGGTAAGCATGAGCTCTTCTTGGGGAGAGAGGAGGAGGTCTTTGTTTTCTTATGCTGGAAACCAGTTGACCTTGAGTCATGGTTTCCCGAGTGTCAGAGTTATCTTTGAGACTTCTCTTATACTTTTCCAGTTGGACCTTGAGGCAATTCTCTCCAGCTGGAGAGGACTTATCTGTTCATCTCCTAAAGGTTTAGAATGCGGTGGTAGCCTTCTACTCTGGACACCTTGGGTCTTGAAACAGAGAATCTTAGAAAATACAAGCTTGGCCTCAGTGAGTGAATCGTCCTTCATTGGTGGCTTTTGAGCCTGTGATTGATGGAATTTGCAATGAATCAGTAGTTCATTATCTTGCAAGGAGGATTTTTACTCTCTGGAAAGTTCTGCCATCAGAAAACTCTCCACATTTATCTGAAAATGGAGTTTCTGGAACTTCTACCCATGGGACTTGGTTCTTTTCCCCTATATTTATCTGATTTACATTAAGTCAAGTATTTCTTCTCAAAGGACCAGTATTATCATCCCAGCCCTGGATTATATTCCATTGTAGTCTACACAGTCCTAGTTCCTTTTTCTCCCTTGTTTTTCAAAGCACTGGGGCAACTTGTCCTTCTAGCCCCCATCCTCTGACCACACTCTTTTTAACTGTGTCCTTCTGACAATGCAGTGACCAGCCATGGTCTGGGAAAAGCACATGAGAGTAAGAGCAGAGAGCATCTTTAATATATATATATATTTTTGCTTTAGCTCCATAGCCCCAGGCATCTTTCTTCCCTAACCCATGTTTCTCCACTCTTTAGAAAGAAGAATGTGTATGTTAGTATTCTTCTGTTTGCCTTCAAAGACAAGTTTCCATCTCTTGACAAGTGGAGAAGGTGTTGCTTTGGCCAGAATAAATAAAATTAAAATAGAGAAATCCAGTAGTATAATAAATCTTCTCGCAACAAGCATATAAGAACTCAGCAGTTTTGCAGTGGATAGGGGAGTTAGAACTAGTTAGAGATGTCTTAAATTGTATTCAGGACCCCGGGACAACAGAACTAGGAATTTGATCAACACATTCTGGCCAGTAGGCAAGCATGAGAGTGGTTCTTTCTGTAGTAATGGAGGAGATCTAGCCCCAAAGCTACTAATCTAGAAACAGGTTCCCCACTGACCCCAAGTTGCTTCTTTGCCTTTTTCTAGAAGTATCTGAGAAGTTTTGCTCCTTGAGTGTTATTGTTTCCAAGACAAGCAGGAAAGGCTTCAGCTCACACAAACTTGCTGGGCAGGTGATTGCCTTCCAAGAACAGCTGCTTTCCAGGGCTGTTGCCCAGCAGCATCAAGAGTAATGAGTAGCACTGGTTTCAGGGCTGATCTAGTCTTGGATAGTTAGGGGATAAGCTACAGATCCCATTTGAGCCCTGCCTGGAAGAAACTTAAAAGCCCACATAATTCAAGGCGAAGGAATTCTCTAGTACCACTGAGGTGGGAGTTTGGAACTTGACTTCACAAAAAAGCCAAGGTTCATGCTATTTAAAATCTAATGTGATGTTAACAATTAAAAGTGATGCCCTGAGCTAAGAAAAGCCAAACAAGGCATGGACTTATGATAGCATGCAGGGTGTTTGAGTAAGATGTGTCAGAGCATAAGTTACCAGAAAGGGTACAACTGAATATACCAGCTGGACGAAGAGGTTGTCATCAGGTTCATAGGAGCCATTGCTGTCTAGGATGAGAATAAGAGGGGGGACACAATGCCCAAGTGAATGTGAATACCTCAGTCTGCCACGTGGATGTATATTCCACAGACCTAATATCAAGAGGGCTGACTGAAATTTTCACTTTCAGCTGATTCTTCTATTTTCCTGAGGAACTCCATTTAGGTTAAGGGTGATTGACTAAGAACAGGAAGTCTATTGTTTGAATATTGACATCAAAATGTAGGTTATCTCAGGGAATCTAAGAGCAGATAGGATTAGGATTAGCTTTGGGTAAGGGCTATGTGTATGGTGTTGGATCCAAGTCACTTTGGGCCTTGAGTGTCAGATTACAGAGTGTAGTAGGGAGCCACCAGAAGTTTGGGAGGCAGGAAAGAGTATGCTTTTGGCCACCAGTGGAGCTGTGAATATGTAGAAAGAAAGCTAATACTAATGGTTCCTCCACCACAGTACACACCACCCTTGGCTCATTTCCTGACAGGACATGCTGTGAGGGTCAGCAGTTGAAGGATGCTGTGACACTTCAGACCATGCATAGTACCTCAGTGTGTCAGTTAGCGGTGTAGACATCAGCTCTGTAATCCTGATATCAAGAGGGCTAACTGTTTTGGTTTTTTTTTCACTTTTGCCTCACTCTCCTGCCACCCTAGAAAGAGACTTTTGGAGAGTGGAACAGTGAACTGAGAAAGGAGTAATTAAGATTCTGGTTTTAGCTTAGCCTTAAGCTGCCCATGGAGCTTGCAGTGAGTCTCCCCTCTGAGCTTCTTCTGGTCCTGTATGTGTTGTACTAAGACAGTGTGCCTCTAAGTTTAGGACTGTGGCAGAGAATCCCATGAGTTCCACAAAGGGACCCTTAATGTGTAGGTCCTGCTGTACATGACATCAGTGCTGTAATAAAGTGATGGTGTTTATATTTTCTAGGTGACTTCGTGGTCATGACGTTTTTCTTCAATGTGAGCAGGCGGTTTGGTTTTGTTGCCTTTCAAAACTATGTCCCTTCTTCTGTGACCACGATGCTCTCCTGGGTTTCCTTTTGGATCAAGAAGGAGTCTGCTCCAGCCAGGACCTCTCTAGGTAAGAGGGCAAGTGGGCATAAACATGAGCTTATGGCTGTGAGTTAAGTTGACCAGGGCAAAGAATTGCCCTCTTGTGGAGTCCCGTGAGCAGTTAATATGTGGCTCAGGAGATCAGCCCACTTTCACACCTTGCTTTTGCAGGGATTACCTCTGTCCTTACCATGACTACCTTGGGCACCTTTTCTCGTAAGAATTTCCCGCGTGTCTCCTATATCACAGCCTTGGATTTCTACATTGCTATCTGCTTCGTCTTCTGCTTCTGTGCTCTGTTGGAGTTTGCTGTGCTCAACTTTCTGACCTACAACCAGACGAAAGCCCATTCTTCTCCGAAACTCCGCCATGTATGACCTGGGTATGGGAGTGGTGGCAAGGCTTTGGAGTGTGGAGGCCTAGCAAGCGAGGGCACGAGGGTTGCAACACATGGATGGCCAACTTCTCAAGTGTTGGGGAATTGCCTTGGTCTGTGGGGAAATCAAATTCCTGATGGTGGGATGTCCTGATGGTGGGAGTCTTGGGGGCAAGAGACTGTGTGTCAAGGACAGTTTCCAGAAAATCCTGGGGCCACTCTTTGCCTTGACTCACATTCCTTTGACTTCCATTCTTCTTCCCTTTTCGATTTCAGCCTCCAATTGGTAGCCGTGCTTATGCCCGTACCCGTGCCCGTGCCCGTGCCCGTCAGCAGCAGGAGGTGTTTGTGTGTGAGATCGTCACCTCTGAGGGAAGTGATGGAGAGGAACGCCCATCTTGCTCTATCCGGCGATCCCCCAGCCCAGGTAGCCCCCAGCGTCCCCGTAGCCTGTACTCCAAGCTGGCCTGCTATGAGTGCTGCAAGGGTTTCAAGAAGTATTTTTGCATGGTGCCTGATTGTGAGGGCAGTACCTGGCAGCGAGGTCGCCTGTGCATCCACATCTACCGCCTGGATAACTACTCTCGAGTTGTTTTCCCGGTCACTTTCTTCTTCTTCAATGTGCTGTACTGGCTTGTTTGCCTTAATCTGTAGGTGCCAGTTGGTACACTGTGGGGCAGCCTCCCCAGTTCCCCAGGAGGTTCCCAGCCCCATGCTAAGGGAGTTGGGGGACAGCAGCAGCAGCAGGAGTACCAAGAGAGTGTCTTTCCATCCCTCTTCCCCAAATGGCAGCCTGCAGAGTTGGTCTTTGCTGACCTCCTCACCAGCACCTTTACTCAGTCTCCTCAGCAGCCCCTTTCAAATAACAGCTCACCTATTCATTCTTCAAGGAGCATTTATGATGCTCAGTCTTAAAATATAGGCTTTCAGTGATCAGCTCCTGAAAACCATGCCCCCATGTGAGAGATTAGCTGTCTCCAGCCATGCTGAGAAGACTGCCTTTTGCCAGAAACCCATTATTGCCTTTGTGGTGCTAATGGGCCCAGCTTGGATTCAGTCTCAAGAGTGCACAGGACACAGTACAACAGGAGGAGGTCCCCATCCTTAAGTTAGATCAGAATATTCTTATTTCTTTCTCCCTACCCTCTCTTCCCCTGAAGATAGATAGCACTGGCATTGTCTTGTTAGGAGGAGGGGAGCCAGCAAGTGGGCCTGTTTGGGAAAGTATCCCTCCCTCTGCTGCTGTGACATCTTCCTCTCCCCCCCGCATCCATCTGCACTACAATTCAATGCCCTGCATCCAGTGGGTATCTATTCTCGTGTGTGATAATAGTAATTACCCCTGCTTCTTATGCCACCTCCTTCCTCCTCCTCTGACCCCTGTGACTCTTTCTGTAACATCCCCAGTGACTTTCCAAGCCCTGATCCAGGTGCTAGGCCTTGGTGACTTCTGGGGACCAAGAAACAAGAGAACTTTGTCTTGCAGTGGGCATTACCCACCGTTGAGTGGTGCCTACCTCAGGCACAGCCTAGGAGTTTGGCTGCTTCCTTGGTCCTTGGACCCATGAGCCAGTCCACTTATATCCCTGGGGCACTCACAATCACATTCAATCAATTGAATTCCCTTAAATTTGTATGGCACTTTACCTTTGACAAAGCACTTTAGACAAATCATTTCTATTTGAAGTCTCATTAATGGCCCTGTGACATCTTTAGGGCAGGATTCTTATCCCCATTATGCAGATGGGAACCCTGAGGCACAGATTTCTATGGGACTGTGGATCTCACTGGAAGCCATGCAGGAGCCCACTGTCACCTTCTAGACCACATGAAAGGGCTAGGCAGCTCTAGTTCACCACGATTTGATTCTATCTCTTCTGCTGGCACCACAGTGGCAAGGCCCAGAATGGCAGGCTCTCTTCAGCCCTGGTCTGCTCAATAACTGGGCCTGAGGTGCTCAGACTGCCCCCCAGGTCAAACCTCTCCTGGCTCTAGTCACCCAGTGAGATGAATTTGAACACGCCCCATTGCTTGTGTATGCTGAATGAAATCTGTGTATTTTATGGGGGGTGGGTAGGGTGGGGGATCCATCTGCTTTTGTCATCATCTTAAAAGGGGAAATATATGAATAAATATATCAGCAAAGCATTCAAGATGTGGTTATTTTCTTTGTGTTTTTGGTGGGGGGAGCAATTGTGGGGTTTGAACTCAGGGGCCTTGTGCTTGCTAGGCAGGCATTCTATCAATTGATCCACATCCCAGCTCTTCATGCTTTAGTTATTTTTTTTTGAATAGGGTCTCACACTTATGCCCAGCTGGCCTGGATCACAATACTCCTATTTACACTTCCCACAGCTGGAAGGCAGGCCACCATGCCCACTTTTATATTATTAGTTGAGATCGGGTCTCATGACCTTTTTGTCTGGGCTGGCTCATCTCCTCCTAAATAGCTAGGATTAGAGGTGTGAGCCAGCACCCCTGGCTTCAGCTCAGGTTTTAAACCTTAAAATCTGTAGCCCAAACCTTTGCTTCCCTCTCCTTTCCACGACTTCCATAACTACCAGGTATACACTAAACACTCTTCTCTCATTAGGGAACAAAAGAAAGAGAAGACCCTGGTGTGTGGTCACCTCTGACTTGCCCCTGTACCTTTGTTTGCTCTATGGTTCTTTTGTTTTTCCCATCACTCTACTCCCTACCTTATCAAGACTAGTGGTTTCCTAGATACCACCAGGCTCAGGTCACCTCCCCCACCAGGTAAAAATGGAGATGCTGTGGCACAAAGAAAATGAGAGATTTGTCATGTGTCATACAACCAGTCAATAGTGGAGTGCGATCAGATCCCAGGAAACTTAGTGCCCTGGCTTAGCTTTGAGCAAGCCTGGAGACCTTGGTTGTTCACCTTTCAAAAGAAGAGTCTATACAAATATGTTGTGAGGTGTTTCTTCTGGCATCCTGTGACACTTCTAACTATAAAGAAACTCAACACAGTAACAAGAACTGAAGAGGAGACCAAAATGGCAGCTAAATAGCTAATATTTTTGCCATAAAGTCTTTAGAATGATGGTCAACCAACTTTATTTAATTTTTTTGGTGGGACTGGGGTTTGAACTTAGGGTTCCACTCTTGCAAAGCAGGTGCTTGAAATGTAGGTGCTCTATCTCGACACACACCTCTAGCCACGACTTTTGGCATAAAAACCCTACATCTTTACTGTGTATTTTCTGATGTACTAACCCATAGAAAATACCAAGTAACAATTTTGGAACAAGGGAAATAGTTCCTCACTTTCACTTACATTTGAAATATGCAAGGAAAGCGATGGTAGCCTGGATCCTAGGCAAAGTAGACCTGTGGATTTGAAGGTACTCATATTTAAATGTGTTTTGAAGCATGGAAATAGTGCAAGCCAGATTTCTTAACTGCACTACAATAAAGTTTCAAATCCATAAAATTCCTACCATTTGCAAATCTTAAAAGGCTCACATAATCAGTTCTTTTAAAACAAAGAAATTGAAACCATAATTAGGAGCATACCTAAAAATTAAAATTAATGAAGAAAACACTGCATAGTAAGACCCATGGGATGCAAGCCAACACTGCTCTTATAGAAAAATTCATAATTTAAGCATTTCAGTTACTAAATGCAGTGGAAGAGAATTGAGTTCAGCATTGAAAACTATTGGAAAGGATTAAAATGTATTATACCTCAGAAGTTTTGGGGAAAGAGGAATTTTCAATATAAACAACATAGAGAAAATCAGTTAAGTACTTGAAAAAAAAAACAATAAATAAAACTGTGTCCCGATCTCTCTTTTCCCTTCAAGATTTAAAAAACACTTTTAGAAGGAATCTTAAAGGTACTCTAGGATGAATGGTGTACGTTTACAATCTTGAGATGGGACAGACACTTCTAAGCATAACATAAAACCTCAGAAACTGTAATGGAAAAGATTGAAAAATGTGTCCATGACAAAAACAAAAAAATACACCAAAACATGTAGTCAAGGGTCAGTTTGTGTGGGAAACAATTCCTGAGACCAAGACTAGAGTTCAGGAAATCAATTGGGAAGTGCCATTTGAAGGAAGTTCAAGAAGCAAGGTCATATAGAAGAAAACCTGGGCTACAACAAACACAGGAACAAGGACCTCAGCTGAACATGTGGCAGTTCTAGAGTCACTGGAATGGTTTTTCTAAGCTGTCACAAATCCAGGTAAAGGTGTGGGTCCTTAAACCCCCTGATTGGATGTGAACATGAAATTGGAAGGGGTATGAACTGGGGTATGGTTGAGAGGGACTCTGTTGAAAGCTGCCAGCCTCCAACAATCTCAGCAGCTGAACAAACAAGAACTTTGAAGCCACACTGTCCTGGGGTGTTTCCTGAGCCACAACTGAGCGCAGCAGAAGTATGAGAGGATGGACCTGTCTGCTTAATGCAGGGCTCCTCCAACAAGCAGTCTTTGCACTAGAGCCCCCATACACCTGGCCGAGACTTCTTTGCAAGGTCTAATTTGCAGTCTGAGGTTTCTCCTCCTGTTCCTCTTCCTCCTTCTTTCCTTTCAGGTGTCAAACCTCATTCCCATGTAAAAGTTCTTCCTGCCTACTCCTGCTCTTTCTTCCTTTATCATTCTCTGACACTTCCCTTAGTTTCTTGCTCTTCCAATGCAATCTTGGCATCTGTTTCAAAGATGACCTGAACTGACACAGTTAATATAAAGTTAATGTCAGGAATAGTACTAGAAAGCATGCAGGAAGAGGGGTTCAGGAACTGAGTTACTCACCACAAGGTTGGCAAGGAACAACCCACCTTGAGTGGGCACAGTTCTTGTACCTGAACCAATTTTTAGGACTGTAACCTATTGACAGAGTAAGTGGCTAGATCTCAAGGAGGAACATGCAACCCAATGGTGAGTATGTGTTGTGATTGTATCCATGCTCTTTCCCCAAAGGTTTAACAGCTATTTACTCAGGTGACCATACACTTGGGGGAGGTAAGGATACTCAGAAATTTGAAGATCCACTGAACACAGTAGTTTGAGTTACCATTGCTATTAGAAGACCAAAGACTCTGATAAGAGTTGATAGCTTATGGAGACCAAATAACAAATCAAGCCCTGGCTAGAGTATAATTCTCAATGGATCCACAAACCCACCCACCCACCCACGAGTCAGCTTTCCAGTCTTGGAGTGCATAACTGGATTTAATGTACTTGAATTTGAAGTAACTCATATGGAGTCCCTGATTTGTGTTATAAGAGCTATCATAGTGGGAAAGGCCAAGTGGAAACCTCCAAAAATGTACTTCCCCAATGAAAATAGTAAATCAAAAGCAATATCATAAATCAGGCAAGGATGTGCACAGTTCATTGAGAATGGGTTAAGGGACTGAAGAATAACTGACATTCAGAGACTAGGCAGGGGGTCATGGCTTTTTATTGAGATGTCTTTAATTCTGATTATCAACCATACTTGATTTGTTTTGGCTATACAGATGGAGCAACAGACATGATATCGGTCATTGGAAATCTTCATTTTAATAATTGTCTCTATAGCCCTCTTCAAGTCAGATCCCTGGCTGCTACTTTGACTTTTTTGCTCATTCTGATAGTTATGCCCATCTTTCTTAGGATGGTTTCATCACCTGATCTCTATT